GTTTACGCTCTTACCTTCCTGCTCCTCCTCCCTCTCCCTCATCCCTCCTCTCCCCCCTTCTCTCTGCCTCCGATCTTCCCTCATCATTATGCCTTTCTGCCCTATCCCCTTTCCCTCCTCTCCCTCCTCCCTCCTCCCTCCCCTCTCATGCCTCCTCCCCCCCTCTTTTTTTGTTATCTCTCTCTCTCTCTCTTTTTCTCTCTCTCTCTCTCTCTTTCTCTCTCTCTCTCTCTCCCCTCCTCTTTCTTTACCTCTCTTATCTGTCTTTTCTGCTTTCTCTCTCTCTCTCTCTCTCGTTCTCTATCTGCCTCAAATAAACTGCCCCCCTCTTCGCTCCTTCTCTCCTGGCGTTTTCCCTCTTCCTTCGTCCCTCCCCCTCCCTTCCTCCCACTCTCCCTCGTTCTCCTCCTTCTCTCTGTGCAGGGCCCACACCAATTCCAATGGCGGGCACATGTACGCCCACGAAGGATTGCCCGCCCGTTCAGGTTTGCCCGCCTGTCTAAGCCCGCCGCCCCCCGCAAAGATTCATCATCCCCCCAATCGAAGCCAAAAACGGCGTGTCCGAGGGCATGGGGAACTCTTTTTGAATGACACGCGGGCAAGTAAGAGCGAACAGTGTTAGAATGATTGAATGCGAATTACTAAGCAGTGATTGATATTGGACCCCTTAAAGGCGGTTTGGCGCTTTCGTTTCGGAGCCGGCCACATGTTCATCGAAACTGAGGCTCACGCTCGAGCGGTTTCGGGGACCGCCCAAACCAGCCCCCCAACAACAACGACGCTCCCGCTCCAGACCTTCTCCTTTTTGACGCAGTGCTGGCGTTTTTGCTCGCCGCCGAACGCCGCCGTCCTAACAAAACCAGCGTTCCCGCTCGAGACTTCCTCCCGTTCTACCTTGAATTGGCGCGCCAGTTTTTCTCTCATCGGCGCCGCCCCCGGCAAAAACAACGCTCCCGCTGGAGGCTTGTTCCCTTTTTTACTCAAGGCGGTGCTCCTCCCTCGACAAAACCAGCGTTCCCGCCCGAGACTCCCTTCAGTTTTACGCTGGAGTGGCGCCCTATTTTTTTTTGAAATGGCGCCGCCCCCAGCAAGAACAACGCTACCGCTCGAGATGTTGTTTTTTCTCCCCAGGGCGGTGTTGTTCCTCGCCGCCGACAGCCCCCGTCCCGACAAAACCACGGTTCCCGCTCGATGTTTCCGCCTGTTTTGCTCAAGGCGGTGTTCCTCCTCGCCGGCGAAAGCCGCCGTCCCAACAAAACCACCGTTTCCGCTCGAGCTTTTTTTTTGCTTGTTTTGCGCTGGACTAGTGTCCTACTTTCTTCAGCAGCGGCGCCGCTCCCAGCAACAACAGCAGCCCTGTTCGAGACTTCCCCCCTTCCTATTCAGGGCCAGGTCCTTGCCTCCCCGCCGACAGCCCCCATCCCCACCAAGGCAATCATGTCGTTCGATATTTCCTTGTGCGTTACCCTTCGCTGAAGTTCCACGGGCGGTCTCGCGTCGGCGCAGCAAGGCGCGGGCATGTGTTTTCGAGGCGGGATCTGTTGAAGTTATTCGGAGAATGTGTTTGCAACACCTCATTGGGCGGGAGATCTGGGAATGGAAATAACGGGCCCCGCTATAGAACAAGAGTCCCTTAATTATGATGTGGACGGTTATCATGATGGTTGCATGCTTCGTGTGGAAACATCTCGCATGTGGGCCGAATGATTGATGTTGCTGTTGTTGTTGATGTTGGTGTTGTTGATGTTGATCTCTGGAAACGCTTCCGCGCGCTCCAATCTCGACGCCAGCTGCATTTTCTCTGAAAACGAGGCTCCCGCACGAGCGGTGGCTTGAGCCTAAATGTGGGCCCTTGGAGGCCCACAGCTACGACAACAACGGCTCCCGCTCGTTACCTCCTCACAATTTACCCTGAGACACCCTGGCGAGAGAGGCCCCCGAACTCAGGAACGGCGCTCTCGCTCGAGACTTCCTCGCTATTGAATTAAGTTGGCAGAGGCCCAGCCACGACGACAAGGGCTCCTGTTCGATACTTCCTCACGATTTACTCCGAGAGCCCCTGGCCAAGAAGGCCTCCGAACTCAGGAACGGCGCTCTCGCTCGAGATTCCCGTAATTCAGTCAAGTTGGTGGAGGCCCGGACACGGCGACAAGGCGACAAGGGCTCCCGTTCTATATTTCTCCATAAGTATTCCGAGAGCCCCTGGCCAGAGAGGCCCCGAACTCAGGAACGGCGCTCTCGCTCGAGCCTTCTTTGCACATCAGTCAGTGGGTGCAATCGAAAACGGAGTGGGCGGGTATCGAGGGTTAGGGTATACGGAATGCAAGACACGCGTGCCAGTATGAGCGAACAGTATCAAAATCATTGTTGTTGTCGTCGTCCTCGCCCGCGAGCCTCCCGCCACCCACCGGCGACCCACCTTGCGACCCACCCCGCGACCCACCCCGCGACCCACCCCGCGCTCGCCCCCTCACTCTTGTCTGCAACTGCGGGGTGCTACACGACATTTTATTTGGAGCTGGCTGAGGTTCTGAGGTGGCCCAGCACTGGTCCTTGCGAGCAGGAAGGTGGCGGGGGGGGCAGCTCCGAGTCGTGCGGCTCGGGCAATGTTTGTTGATTGTTTCGGCCTCCAGCGGCTTTTCTCGGGCCAACAACGGATCCGAGGTGCAACATTGGCCCAGATGGACGCCCAGCAAGAAGGAGGAGGGCAGGCTCGAGGTTTTGGGTTCGGGAAGGTTCTTTGCCTTTTTCGGCCTCCAGAGCCGTGTTCGAGCCCTGGGACAATGAAAAACATATACGGGACAAACACATTGCACCAGATGGGACCCCGGGAGGGGTCTTCGGCCCGGTCTTGATCGGATTTGGCCTCATCCGCCCTTCCTGATTGACTTTGCCCTTCCAGCTCAGACCCCCCGTCCGCCTCCAAATTATCTTCCGACTGGCGTCGTGTTGCTTGCCCCTGCTGCCCTTCCAGGGGCCGATTGGCAAGTTACCAGACGCGCTTACTCACACGCCCCAAAGGGAGGCGCGTGCGTGTGGCGTGCGTGGTGCGACCAGTGCAGCCAGTGCGTGGCATGCTTCTGGGCACGCGTGCAGCAAAACGGCCAACGGTCAGACAGGACTTGTGGCATCTCATGCCTTTCGCTCGCCCTTGACCTCTTCCATCTCTCCACTCCCCACTCCCACTTTCTTCCGCCTGTCGCGCTACTCTTTGCTCAGCGTTTTCCCCCCACGAGGTGCAGATGGAGGAAACAGGTCCTGAGCTTGGCATCGCTCGGACGTGTGCATGTTTCATTCGGCGAGGACAATCGAGGAGCATCCTTGATCATTTGGCGAACACGCCACGCACGGAACCGAAAAAAAGCACAGGGAATGGACGTCCGAGCGATGGCGAGAACAGGTCCTGAGGAAACCGGGTCTTGGATCCCGGGGGCCTTCCCCCAGGACGAGCTTCTCATCCTGAGCCGTTTCCTGACGGTCCGGGGGCCCGAGGAGGGCTCCGAGGGCCCGAGAGCGGCGAAACATCTCAGGGCCCCGTTTCCCTCCTCTCTCCCTTGGCATCGCTCGGACGTGTGCATGTTTTCTCGGCGAGAGCCATCGAGGAGCATCCTTGATCACTTGGCGAGAAGAACAAACACGCACGAAACCGAAACAAAAAGCACAGGGAATGGACGTCCGAGCGATGGCCAGCTCCTGCTTCTCCGCCATCTTCCGGCTCACACACGACTGAGGGGGTGGCCGTGCGGCCGTCTTGAGAGTAATTACACACGCTGACGCGGCAGCGAGGTGCGCCTACATCTAGAGAGGCGCGTGCCGCACCCACCCATGCAAGCACGGGCCAGTCTTTCGCGGGCACGCACGCCCCCCTCCCTCGCTGCCAGACCCCGAGCTTTCCCCCGAGCCTCCTCCTCCTCATGCACCTCCTCCTCATTCACCTCCTCCTTTTCCTCGTTCATCTCGTCCCCCTTCATTCTCTTTCCTTATGAATAACCCTGTGCCCCGGACCATAACTCATCCCCCCTTCACCATTGAGAGCTGATTTATTTCCAGCCAAGACAGACTTGGTCGGGGAAGAGGTGCGGCAACCACGAACTTTATGATCGCGGGGGAAAGTTACGAATCGAAGTTGCTATCTTCTTATGTTGATTAGCCGCATCATCAAAAACGTGTGGTATGGCAATGGGGGTCTCACCATATCAGCTTTCGCAAGTCACGAGCGTGTGACAGGGCCATGGAAATCTCACCACTTCAGATTTCCCAAGTCACAAACGTGTGGCAGGGCTATGGGATTCTCACCTACTCAGCCCTTCCCGAGTCAGGAACGCGTGGCAGGGCCATGGGATTCTCACCACTTCAGCCTTCCCAAGTCACCCTTAGGGACGAATTGTTTCTCAATCCACCCTGGACCCCGAACTTTATTATCCCCCAGGTGTTATTATCAGGGGTGTGCGGTTAATTCCTCCCTGTCGCTCCCCGAGGCCAGTCGGAGGGGCGGGACAGGCGATTCGCCTGTTTTGCTTTCACCATTTAGGACCCTGAAGCTTAGCAGTGTCATAGGTCGAGGACGGGCGGCTTTCAACATGTGTTTCTCGCCATAGCGTCGAGTACATTCGCTTCAACCAATTGCGAAGTATTCACTAGCTCCCATGGTCAACGTAATTACCAGAAGCTGTGTGGTAGAAGGATTCAGGCTTGCCAGGGCGCAACAGTTAGGTTGATTCGCGGTGTTGAAGTCCCAGGGGTTGTGTTCTGGCGCGTTCCAGGCTCGTCAAGATGCAACAGTCAGATTTATTCGTGGCGCTAGAGTTCCGAGAACTGTATTTGGGCACGTTTCAGGATCTTCAAACAGTTGTCTCCCAACGGGGCACTTCCCTAAGTTCAAATGAATCCTTGCAGGGGCCGAGAATTGATTCAAACATCGTCTTGGGTTTACACTGGTCCTCCTCCTCCTCCTCCTCGTCTGTTCTTTCCCCCCGAGCTTGGAGTCGGCGCCCGGGGAGGCCTGGACGAGCAGCTGGAAAGGTTGCGACGCGCGGGCCTCGGAGCGCATGGCGCGCGCGCGCGGGCGGCGCGTCCCAATGGAGGCCGAGGACGGACGGATAGGTCAGGACATGCTAAGTCCGGACAAGGTAAGCCCAGGCGGAGACCGAGCATTCCGTATGGGCTTACTCTGTATAAATTTGTTTTTTTGTTCAGGAGATGCCAAGTCCAGACGGAATAAGCCCAGACAGAAACCAAGCATTCCGTATCACTTAACCCCGTAAGGGTCTTCTCATTTCTGAATAGGTCAGGCAGTATGTCACATCGGCCAGGGCGGGCTCCTGTCATCGGAAAACGAAACATGGCAGAAACATGGGTCAGGCAGGAGAGCATTTCGGCCAGGGCGGGCTCTGGTCATCGGGGGGATCCTGCATCTGGCGCCGCCCCTGGCGCGCTCCGCGCGCCAGGGAGGGAGATCCAGCGCCGATCCATGAAATCCGCGCTGGACTCCGAGAGTTTGTGTTGATGCAATGTATTGTTCCCCGCTGTCGAGCCTGCCCGAATCGGCCCGTGGACACCCAACGGTATTTGAATAGCCATGGCACGTGCTGAATATGTACATTCGGGACGCCGTAGATAACGACAACACGGCAAAGACATGTCGCGGCCATCTCGCAAGTAATTTGAATGGGTACTTGATCCTTTACCGTGGATGCCTGCACCACGTTTGCACCCTTGTTTCCTTGCAGCTACTTGATGACCGCCTCGTTGCTACTCCATAGGGGATCCCGCTGCTACCATAGAGTTGTCTGGTATCTAGCGCATGACTACTACATGGCTGAATCGAAATTACGTGGTAGTAATCTACACGTCGACCCTCGGCTACCCCGTATGTGTGTCGTGGCTACCTTCGTATACACCCCATGACAGCGTTTATCGGCACCCCATGGTGAGCTCATGGGTACATCATATGCGTGTCCGCTTCATTCCATGGCTGGGACCGACCACCTGCTTTCGGGCCCCACGGCTACTGGGACCGGGAAGTACGTTTACATATCGAAAACGAGACGGACTGACAACAAAACGCGTTCGGCACCATGGTTTGCTTCGTAGCTGCGTCGTGCCTGCTGGGCGTCCTGTTGTCTGCTCCGAGTTACCCCGCAGTTATAGGACTCCGCGTGGTCCAGCCGCTGGGCGTCCTGTGGGTCTGCCCTTAGCACGCAGTGCGAGCACACCATGCAAGCCAGGATCCCCTTCGACCCGATCGATCCGATACGATAAACGAGAGAAACAACTAGTCGCCCCCTCCCCCTCCCCCTTCCGGTGAAACGATAACGCATCCAGCACCTGGAAGCGTTATTCTTGCACCCTGAGGAGTGGAGGAGGAGGAGGAGGAGGAGGAGGAGGAAGAGGAGGACGGGGGAGGAGAACAGTGAGGAGGACGGAGGAGGAGGACAGGGAGGAGGGTCATTTGAGGATGACTAACTTTTTACGACTACGATTACGACTACGATTACGGTTAGTACTAGTAGTACTACTACTACTACTACTATTACTACTACTACTACTACTACTACTACTACTACCACTACCACTACCACTACCTACTACTACTACTACTACTACTACTACTATTACTACTACTACTACTTCTACTACTACTCCTACCACTACTACCACTACTACTACTACTATTACTACGATTACTACTACTACTACTACTACTACTACTACTGCTACTACTACTGCTACTGCTGCTGCTACTGCTACTGCTACGGCTGCTACTACTACTAATACTGCTTCTATTACAACTACTGCTAAAACTACGACCACTACTACTACGACAACTACGATTACGACTACGACTACTACTACGACTACTACTACTACTACTACTACTACGACCACTACTACGATCATTACTACTACTACTACTACTACTACTACTACTACTACTACTACTACTACTACTACTACTACTACTACTACTACGACTACTACTACTACTACTACTACTACTACTACTACTACTACTACTACTACTACTACTACTACTACTACTACGACTACGACTACGACTACGACTACAACTACTACTCCGAAGGACCGGACTTATCTATGTTCGGCGTTCCCCAGTGCGAAGATAACGCTCCGTGCGGGCGTGCGCAATACCCCGGGAAGGAGCGACCCCCCGGACAGCCAACGAAAACCAATGTGTCATTTGGGATTTCAGTAGGAATCGTGAAGGAAGAGAACGTAGACATTTCAGCGAGCACTGCAATTCATTTTGCCCAGTGCGCTCAGGAATGGTTTGCATGTTGCTGGCCGAACCATTCTTATTCTTATTCGAATTATTATTATCACGACTAACTACTACTACTACTACTACTACTACTACTATGACTACTACTACTACTACCACCACCACTACTACTACTAGTAATAATAATAGTACTACTACGATTACTATTACTACTACTACTACTACTACTACTACTACTACTACTACTACTACTACTACTACGACTACTACTACCACTACTACTACTACTACTACTACTACTACTACTACTACTACTACTACTACTACTACTACTACTACTACTACTTGGAATCCACTGCCCCTCTGTTATGAGGCCGTTGTATAGGAGAGGGAACAGAGGACAGAGTGTTTACACAGCTTTGAGGAAATAGTGAATTCAGCATGGGTCCGGCTTGAAGTGCCTCGAAGAAAGCGCGCGCACCCGAGTCGCAGACATATGGCTATATGCGGACCCGGGACACTTGCTTCCCGTCGTCGTCCTCGCCCTTGCTCCGTTTCCCTTCCTTTCTTCCCTCCCCTGGATGGTGTCGAAAGCGTCCGCGGCTCGGGCGGGGGAGCGCCCCTTCCCACCTGCCTTATTATTCCTCGTTCCTCTTTGCCTCCCTGCTCCACCGTCCGTAGTCCTACCTCGCCCGCCCTCCTTGTTCGAAAAATGAAGTCCCTGGTGCCGCGTGCCCGCGTCAGCGGTAAATGCTTTTTCGATATCCGAGCACAGCGGCGCAACCAAACAGAGGGGATTGCCAATGCGAGAATTCGGGGCGCACCCAAAATGCGGGCGGCACGGCCGCCGAGCACAGTCGCATCGCTAACATGTAAATTATAAGTGCCTACGGCAAGGTCCGCCCCCCTGCCGGAGCAGTGGTCTATATGGCGACGCGTGGAACTTTGACTGTTAAGAGGTCCGTGACATGTGACATCTCTCGTGTTTTCGGACTGCTGCGCGGCATTCTTCGTGGTCCTTCGAGGCCTTGTTGGGGCGTCTTCGGGCCGTTGGGGGCCGCTTTGGCGCCGCGTTGCACCGCGGCCGCCCTGGGCCACAGAAGCGTGTATTTGCGGTTCTCTCGGGGGCGCCCTGGGCCGGGAAAGTGTGTATTCGCATTCCCCCCCAACTGGGCATGTCAACCTCGGTTCTGGGCTGGCAAAGTCGGGGCGCCCTCGAGGTGGCAAGCGTTTACCTTTTCGAAATACACAGATCAAGGTGTGATCTGTGTACACAGTTTGTGTCTTCAACTGTGTATTTTCGTGTGTGGGCCCGCTGTTTACACAGATCGTGGTGTGATCTGTGTACACAGATCTCGTTCCCATCTGTGTATTTGGAGTGTGCCCCTCGCGGGTGGTGTTGAATGGGCGGGAACTTTCGCGTTTCTCTTCCGGCTGGTCCAGGGGGAGCGTCGTGCGCGGTCGAAATACACAGTTCGTGTCTCCAACTGTGCATTTGTTGCGCGCCGTTCGCTGGAGTGGTCTATGGGCGGGAGTTTCCGCGGGTCTCCCGGCTGGTCCAGGAGGGGGCCGTGGTCTGGGCATGCAAAGGCGCGGGTGTGTGTGGATGGTGGGCTGTGGGAAGGAAGGGGTTCGATGGGGGGGGGCCGAGGGGCCAAGGATGAGCGGGACTGGACGAGAGCGGAGGAAATGAGCCCAGGAGGATCTGCATCATCGGTGTCAGCATCACGAGGGCGAGGGAGGCGGGGGGGGGCAGAAGTTGGGGGCATGATGTGCATTAGGGCGTAGAGGATGGGAGGAGGGCGGGCATGTAGACGATGGAGGAACGAATCCAGCGCAGGAGGACGACGAGGAACGACGTGAATTGGCACATGGGGGGGAGCAGTGTGGATGAAGGGCACGATGAGGACCGGGGCAGTCGGAGGGCGTGAGGAGGGCGGGGCCACAGCGAATGGATATTTGGAAGAGGCGGGGGGTGGGGCATGAGTTCGAGGCGGGCGCCAGCTAACGATTAGCTGAACAGTGTTTTGCGTGTCCGTGCACCCCCATAACACAGTGACTGGTTGCAGAACTTCGTGATATGGGTAATCGTGCGTTTCGTGCTTCCAGGCCAAAGGCTCGAGTCCGCGACGCCCCTTGGCGTCGCGATGATGCCGCCCCGATTTGCCAGACCGCATATGCACAGATACGCAGAATATGTGTCGCAACGTTTGTTTCATGACCCTCTCTATACTAACAGACCCACGCTGGAATCCAAACTACTACTACTACTACTACTACTACTACTACTACTACTACTACTACTACTACTACTACTACTACTACTACTACCTTTACTACTACTACTACTACTACTACTACTACTACTACTCTACTACTACTACTACTACTACTACTACTACTACTACTACTACTACTACTACTACTACGACTACTACTACTACTACTACTACTACTACTACTACTACTACTACTACTACTACTACTACTACTACTACTACTACTACTACTACTACGACTACTACTACTACTACTACTACTACTACTACTACTACTACTACTACTACTACTACTACTACTACTACTACTACTACTACTACTACTACTACTACTACTACTACTACTCCTACTCCTACTCCTTCCTTATTCCTTATTAGAATATACTCCTACTCCCCCCTCAGGCCGGCAGATAGGGGCCCCATCCGGGTGGTCCCATCCTAACCTGTAAAAAACAATACAAAATCAACATTTTTCTTATTTTTTCCTCTCGACATGGACGTCCTGTCG